ATAATAATATAATAATATATCTAAGCTTTATTTTAATTTTATTGGATATTTATTACCCTTGAAGTGTGCTTAATTGAATGTTTTCAGATAATGTAATATCGATGGAGAGCCATTAAACTATTCGTTGTTGTAACTTGTATTTTCGTTAGAATTGTTTATATTTAAACTTGTTAGAATTGTTTATATTTCTGAAGAGTTTAATGAATTTGACCTGGTAAAATCAGTGACACATTTCCATTTTGACTGTGAGTCATTCACAATGGATATTCTAAAAATAAAAAGATTTGCTAAGTTGTTCCACTTAATTGCCATCATAAACGATTAGATATAATGCTATTGAAAGCCAGATTTGTTATGAATGATATGATATAATGTATAGATAGACTTGACACTAATTACGTTGTTCTCCAAAGAGCTAAGCATGTGTTTCAGTGAATCGATGCGGAAAACTAGTCCTAACTGTTGGATTTTTTATTGTATGTCATCAATAGATAAGGAACCCTCTTGCTCTCTCTTTCTCTCTCAGTCGTTCTCAATCTCGCTCCCACTATATTCCTCCCTTTTTACTATGGTCAACAAATCACGTCAACAAAAAAGAAAAAAAATTCTTATCGAATCGTCAGCCTTATCGGACTTTGGCCAAAGTCAATGTCTGAGGCCCTGAGATTCGTATGGACAATTGACAAATGTTCACTGCTTGAAGCTAATTACGTAGCCGCAACTCAAATGAATTGTTCAATTAAAACAGCAACAGCAACAAAGCAGAAAAAAATACAAACAAGCTCATTAAAAGTTTAGGCCATAAGTCAGCGCCCACACATTAAATACTCGCATATGATTAAATATAGTTATTATGGATACAAATTTGATTTTGATTATTAATTTTGTTCTTGGCTTTGCTTGTTTTATAAGTAGGCGTTAAATATTTAACATAAAGTGTACATTTTTCAAGCCAGCAGCAATTTTCGTTGATGTCGTCAGCGCTTGCAGTGTAGATCATATCATATCAAAGTGTGTGAGACCCATATATGTATATTGATTGACATAATCCAAGTGCTTTGCCGTTGCATGAATCCTAAATGAGAAATCAATTAAATATTAACAATTTCATTTAGCTTTATGGATCTTGATCAATTTTAATATAAACCTTTCTCATTTCTGCCAGACGAACGCGATGCCATTCAAAAGAAGACTTTCACAAAATGGGTTAACAAACATCTTAAAAAGGTGAGTGCATAGCAGAGTCACGGAGTGAGCCGCTGATCCACAGTTATCATGAAACATACATATCATCAACATAAGTGCTCCATTTAAGACCCTCATCCAAATTAAACATTTACGATTTTTACGAGCAAAAGTTAGGGTTTTTATCAATTTATGTAAAATTAAAATAGCATTCCTTTATGCTCTCTTTCTTAACTCTCTTAACTACAAGCAGCATTGGAAGTATGCCAAGGTATAGTGTTTGTATAAAAAATACTACGTTTCCAAATTAGTTTTATTTTTTTTCTTAATATTTGCTTTTAAATTTGAAAATCTCACGGAGTACTCTATTAAATTTGCAGACCTATACCATGCTACATGTTTGTGTTACCACAAATGGTATACCCTGTTGTTCACAGTCAGTAAGTTGTGCCAATCTCAAGCAGAGTTTCAACGTGTATAAATGTTTTGCATATATAATTATTAAATATATATATCTAGTACTGAGAGATAAATATATTCAATTTTAATTAAAGAATTTGTTTGAAAAGACCATTATTATTACTTTTTCAATTATTGTTGAAGGTTTCTTTTATAAATATTTTGAAAACAGTTGTATATTTTGAGGCGTTGTACACTAAAATTTGTTCGTTTTTGATTTGTTCGTTTCCTTATGCTCGTTTATTGTTCTTCACTAAATGCACCCGCCCACTAATATTGAATTCCTAAACACCGAATTGTTGTAAACACTTTCTTAACACCCTGCATGCATATACATAGATGTATATATTTGTATAACCTTCAACTTTTACTTTTCAACTGTCGCCTAACATGTTTTTTTTTCTTCTTCTTCTTCGTTTTTCCACCTACCCAGGCCAATCGGCGAGTCGTGGATTTATTTGAGGATTTGCGCGATGGTCACAATTTGCTTTCACTCTTGGAGGTGCTATCTGGCGAACACCTGGTAAGTAGCCACAACCAGCTCTATCGACAACTTTGTGTCCAATAAGATTTTTGTACTCGTTTTTAATTTTCCTATTCGTTACTTTCCCATAGCCACGAGAGAAGGGCAAAATGCGATTCCACATGCTGCAGAATGCACAAATGGCGCTGGATTTTCTGCGCTTTAAGAATATCAAATTGGTCAACATACGCGCCGAGGACATTGTGGATGGTAATCCCAAGCTAACGCTGGGCTTGATCTGGACGATTATATTGCATTTCCAGGTAATGTAGAGCATTCGTTACATGTTATATATAAAAGTTGGATGTAAATGGAGCAAGTTTTTAGAGATTTATTCATTAAATATTTATTGATGTTAATTACTAGTTGCAAACGAAAAGAAGAGGAACATTTTTAATCTCTTAAGAAGATTGAACATTGCTTGACTGAGGAAATAACCTATTTGATACACTTGTCATAATTGATTTATTTTAAGTGACGCAAGTTTATATATGTAACATTATATAATGTAAAAAATATTTACCTGCCGACTAAATTTACGATACTCGGCAGTTTTATTTGGTTTAATTGTTAGAGTTTTGTGAAAGATCTCGGTTGTACGGTACCCCGCCTTAACTCATCTCACTGAAGATCAGTTGAAAATTATTACTGAGACTCTCTGTTACCGTATTTATTATACCTCTCGTTACTTTCTATAGGAGTTAGTTGTACTAATTAAGATAAGCGAAATATGTTACACAGAAACTGCATAGAGTTAAGGCCAAATAATTAGCTTAAGTTCAATTAAAATTGATTCTTGTTAAGCTTAACCTATCGCTGTAAGGCGAAGAAACGAGTAAGTTAAGTAACGAGACAATCTGACCATTTGCTCTCATTTGAATTAGGATAATCAAATTTGAGTGAATCAGATCTCGTTCGTCCCTTTGCGAGCTCGTTTCATTGTAAGGCGGAATGTTCTAGTTCCTTCATTTATAATTGCTTTAACATTATTGCCTAATGGGCTTATATAAGCTAGGCTAGGCAATGTACTTGTTACATTCTTTTGTCGTTACAATCCTAAAAGCAATCATACTCTGTTTTTGATCCAACTACTCGCTGCATTTTAGCAAGCATTGAACTGGTTTCTCAGTGAGTTTTGACTGGTTGTGTGTGTGTGTGTGAGTGCGTAAATGGAGCAAGTGTTGGATAACTGTGGGCAGGTCCACGATATGTTGCCCAACATGGCGACAGTATCAAAGTCAGCGCCAGTGGCGCCCACACGCAACAATTGGGCGAAGGTGACCCTCAAACTGGCCGCCCAATTCGTGAGATCGTTAACAAATGTTCACACAACGAACGAATTCGTTTTCATTTGGGCGTATTTGCTGTATATCTTGTAGATTTGTACATATGTACACGTATGTACACGTATGTACACGTATGTTATAGTTTCGTCATCGATTCATTGATCAACAACTGCAGCTCGGCCCACACAAACAAACACACTCATACATACACACACACATATATATATTGGTTATTTCAGCTTCGATTTTCGGTTAAATATTGTGCTTGATCTACTCCTACCCAGCAGCTGCTATTTTTACAGCAGAGCTCTCCGGCTGTTGTTGACTTATTTTGGCGAACGCGGCGCTGCCTTTTAAGGTAGCCAGTTTACCTTCTCTTCATCAGCATCGTCTCAGCGTCTACTGAGCGGTTGACTGACACACATAACCAAGTCCAAGTGGCTGCTACAGTTCGTCAACTGTTGTTGTTATTGTCCACAAGGCCGCCACAAATCAGCCACTTGCCCAGGCCACCTACACAGCCAAAAACATAAAATAACACGAAAATTAACAACGCACTCGATCGAAGCTCTGGAAAAGGTTGTAGTGCCCGTTGCGACACCTTTGCGCATAATGAAGCTGTTCACCAAATAACAAGCATTTTATCTCTGAAATATGATTGCAGCCTTAAAGCATCGAGCTTGAGTCGAGCTGTAAATGTATAAATTAAACTATTTTCAAATCAATCAATGTTCTCTTAGATAGCATTTGTCAGACCCTCGAGCAGTAGCTACGGATTAATGTGAGCCCATTATTATTAGAAAATTATACGATATCTTTGAATATTTGTTAGATTACATCATAAGTGTTTTATAAACTGTTTTATTGGCAGTTAATTTTTTGTTTTCGATTAATTTCGAATAGATAATCAGTACTGACATAAATTCGAGGTTGAAAAAAAAAATGGAGTAAATTGTCGAAGTTTGAAATTTGTTGTTTTGTTTTTTATATTATTACAATAAAAAAAATGTGTTGATAACTAAATATTTTAATTTATAATGGTTTCCCATTCGATTAAGAAATCAGAAATATTACCAATTTTATATACAGATATACATATGAATGAGTTTAAATGAGTGTTAAAAATATTTAATATTTAATAGTGCTATAAATACATTCATACAATGTTATTCGGTTTCTTATATTTTCCAAAGACTGAATTCAAAAGGTTTTTCCGAAGATTCATAGCGCAAAGCTCAAATTACTTTTTAAGGCAATTGCAATTCTTTTCAAGCCAAATATTTCTGTTGAAGTTGAGATAAGCAGAAAGGTGTTTAGCATGCCACTTGCACTTGCATGTATAACATGAAAAACATTTCTCAGAGCTGTCCACAAGTAAATTCCTTGATGGGTTTCTCATTAGTTATATCAACTCTTAGCTTTCGACTTGAGTTCGGCCTGGCTTGGGGCACGCCTCTGGGGCTCGCTTAGTCATCGGGCATGTTGCACATTTCCGCACTGCGTCTCGAGTCTCCGTGTCTCGAGTCACAATGTGTGTCAACAACAGCAACAGCAACAACAACAACAGCAACCAAACTAGATGCAACTTAAAACTCGGGTATTTCGTAATTTGTGACGGCGCATGCCGCATCGAGCTGCGTTCGATGCTCGGCGGCTCGGATTGATCGATGGGGCGCATAAATGCTCAATGATGCTGCCAGTCAGCCGCGGTGGCAGCCAGCAGCAGCAGCAGCAGCAGCAGCAACAGCCACAACGACAACAACAACAACGGCCATGAGGCAACAACAGCAACTGTTGCTGCTGATTCAATTGAGGCAAAACGAATTGTAAATCACTTGACAATGTGAAACTCAATCGCGCGTCATTTACTGTTTATGTTATTTATTATTTCTTGCTGTCTCGCATTTAACGTGTGCGCCCCTCTCGCGTCTCGTCTTGGCCTGGCAATTGTCGTTGGCCAAGGATTTATGTATATTGCGGCCTGCAGTTGCGGGTGTCTCTCGCTCTCTGTATATCTGTGTATCTGCGTATCTTTGTATCTGTTGCTGTTTGTTTGTGAGTCGCTGATGTCATTTAGTCATTCGCAATGCAAATTTGTGAGCGCGACTTAAAAGGATATTTCTGCTTATTATACACAAATGAATGGTATATATGTGTTGGAGTGATGGCGTCGCCGATAAGTAAAAGACCGGCTTGTAGTTTCCTCGTCTTTATTTGTAGATTAGAGCTGTGTCGCTCGTATAGTATTGTGAATAAGATGTACATATGTCTCGTCAGTACCAGGAGTGGCAAGTGACAAGTACTCGCGAGACGAAGTAGCGGGCGCTAAGTACCGCGAACCAGTAGGAGAACTGGGTGATGTTATTAACAGAATGCTGTTAACAACATAACAGTGTGCGGTGCGGGAGGAGCAATTCTTGTTAATGGGATCTGGCATTAACAATATGTATGTATGTACCCTATGTTGCCCCAAAAATGGTTAGCCCAAAATGAAAATGAAAAAAAGGAAGGGTATAATCAAGTTGTTCCAGTTTATCTAAGGGGCTGGCAGTTGACTTTTTTATGGGCATATATTTTTTCATAGCTCCATTGAGAGATTCTATAACAGAGGTATTTTTGGATGTTTGTGAACGCAATTTTTATATTACTTCTGTTAAATTGCTATTGAGTATTTTCCATATAATTCTGTAATTGTGCACCGAAATATCTGAACCGATGTGAGTTAACTAAATAATAAATTTTTCAATTAATTTTATCTAAAATATATTTACTTTTGTGCAAGTATTTTCTGCCGCTCGAAAGTCTTTGAACTATATATTTTCAAACTATTTATCGGCACTATCTCCGTATTTTCAGATGTATCCATCTGTTGTCTATTGTTCATATATTCTTTGGTTTATACATCGTTCTATCTACCCAACTATGATATCATATACGAATTCCGTTAATTAAAAGTATCTAAATAATATATCACTCCTCGCTATAATAACAAAATTAGAAACACTTTAGCTTTGATCTGAATTGAGTTTTATTATGCCATTTTGCATTCGAAATTGCATTTAACTCAGACAAACTGTGTTTGGGGCGTTGACTTGAACGAAATCTCGTTTGGAGATCGCGTTTCGGTTGAATTTCAATTATGACATAATGCTTATTTATACGGCAATTGCAAAGATATTCGCATTGTTATTTATTTTTGCGAGTCTGTCTTTCTGTTTGTTTGTCTATCTGCCCGTTTGCATTAAATTCAATTAAATGGCGCATTTTATAGGTCAATGTGCAAAATACGAAATGTTTAATTCAAAGCGAAGCCGATGCCAATAAATTGCAGGCAATTTGCCAAGCAAACCCGGCGGCAGTTTGTAACGCTGCTTTGGCTATAATTAAGTTATAAATTGTGCCTTATAGATAATCGCTGTGATCTACGAAACACCCACAAAAGCTCAGATTTTCCCTCGAATGAGGAGTGCCACGGGGTGTTTAAAGTATATATATCTATATAATGTATTTATGTGAGCAGTCAAGTTCTGACAGGCCTTCGCCTTGACTTTAAAACATTTGCTGACTTCCGTCAGCTGGAGATACTTAGTTGCTGCTAAGCTGTGCGCGTTCTCAATTGTTTAATTTGAGCACAAAAAGACAGAAAAACAGACATAAGTTTATGACTTAAGCGGCAGGCTAAACTGGTTGAGCATGCGCCACGAAAAGTTGCCCTGTAAACAGAATTTGTCAAAAATTTGAATAATACCTTTTAAATAATTTATGTATACTTGATAAGATTGTTAAGAAATTCGCCAAATAGCCGTATATATATACATATGTATATTTTGTTCAGGTTTTTAAGATTCATTATTTATTCATTTAAAGATTATTCATTTTAATTGAACTGCATTTGATATATGTTCTTCCACATTGCTAAATTTGTGAATTTCTGCTGTATTTAATTTTAAGAACAATATATTAGATGTTTCAGATCA